CCATGATTATAATATACCGCTACTTGTGTTGTGTAATTATATATATATATATATATATATAAATATATATATATATATAATATATATATATATATATATATATATATATATAGTATATATATATATATCAACACTGCACTAGCCAAGGGCTCGAACCCATGCTGTTTTGGCCCGCCTCATGGTGAGATAAAATGCATGACGATTTAGACCACTAGACAACACAATCCTTAACAATGGAGCATACAGCCAAGCTAGATGTTGTACCCACCATCGAAGGACATACGATGGTGTGACTAGTGCAGTGTTGTTATTGATCAATACTACTTGTTCCGTGGGTACAGTAATATACTGCCTGTTGAGCTAGTACACAAACAGGGAGTAGAATGAAATTAGCTCAGAGGCGTCCACACCACCGTATGTCCTTCGATGTCGGGTACAACATCTAGCTTGGCTGGATGCACCATTGTTAAGGAATGTGTTGTCTAGTGGTCTAAATCGTCATGCATTTTCTCTCACCACGAGGCGGGCCAAAACAGCATGGGTTCGAGTCCTTAGCTAGTGCAGTGTTGATATATATATAATATATATATATATATATATATATATATATATATATATATTTGGGTCCACCTCTGGTGTAAATTGTGGGACCCATAGCCTCGGAGAAGTGGATAAAAAGGCTTCAAGGAAGAATATTTGGATTTCTTCCTGAAGCCGTTTGAATATTCCACTTTCCCTACCACCCCATCTTTTCACATTTTTTTTTTTTTACCAGTAGGAATATTTTATTACATAATATGGTACAAAAGATTTAAGAGATACATTGTTGATATACAGGTGGCATATACGGTACATGTTGTTACGTGTGTATCACCGATTATAAGGCGAAAATCTCATCCAGCTCCTCAGAGCTGGGGCGTGTGCCCAAAATACAGCAGGCATTACCCCTTTGAACACCCGCACTGAGCCGGGGGAAACAGAAAACTAGCTGCCCTGGGTCCCTAGTTCCCTGATGAGTTTTTTCCCAGCCCCTTTAAAGGAATTTTGTGATTCTTTCCCAGACCCAAAGGGTTCTAAGCCATGGGAACAAACATATAATGATGGGCAAGTTTCATATTTTATAGACTTTGGGCCTGAAGTGCAGCTGCCCTGCTTCCTCCGGGTGTATTGGAGTGGTACACCCAAGGTGATGCCGTTATAGCCCCCCCACCGTTTCCCCATCTGCCCGGCTTGAAGGGTGATACCATCTGGAGCTTTGGTCCCCAAGATCTGCATAGGGGGGGGGGGTGGCCCCCTTACTGGGGACCCGGGCTGTTGTGAGGCTCCTTTTGAAAAGTTTTTAACCTCCTCTTTTTGAAATCTTTCCCTCGAATTTACAGACACTAGACCGTGGTCCCCGAAGGTTGGCTTCCTGCCACAAAAACCTTGTTGGGCGGAATGGGGGGCGGAAAAGTCGAAGGCACACCGTGCGGATGGTTGTGGGTGAGGGTGTCCCAAAGGCGGGGGGGAACAGAAACAGAAAACCCCTGCTGAGGTGTTTTCCCCTCCCAGGAGGTGGGCCTACCCTTTCCCCTGACACCCTAAAAGCATTTTTAAAGGCATATTTTCCATTTTGGGGGACCATCCCGTGCGATTGTTTGTAGTTGTTGGGGGGGGCAGGTTGGTTTTCGGCCCCATTAGTTACCCCCGGGATCATGGCTCCGTCAATGAATTTTGGTCTGGCTCCAATCTTGTTCCCAGATGTTCGGGGAAAATCGGGGACAACCCCTTTGGAGAAATCATAAGGACAAAAAAAAGCGGTAGCGCAATCTGTGATGACTTGGGACCCCAGTGCCCCCGGTCTGACTGGAAGTGTAGCTTGGTTCCATCCCATTTCTAAGGAAGGTTAACTACTTTCGAAAAAATCTCCCTCGGGATATGTCATATTCGTGCATTTAGGGTTATCATATAAAGGGGCCCAATCTTGGGAAAATATGTAAACCCGGGCAGATCAACTTTTTGTGAGTTTTTAAAGGCAGGAGTGCCCAGATTCCCTTTCGTTTTTCCCATTCCCCTTTATCTTCCAAATTTCTTCTGAGAATTGGTCAATGGAGTTCCAGAGGTGCCCTAGCAAGACACTGTTTGTGGGGGCAATGTGTGCTCTGGAGTTTTGATCTCACGCATTTATCCTTGTTTATTGACTGAGGATTTCACATTTGGTTGGATCAGGTTGAACCCCTTTTCCCGTCCCGTGTATTATTTTTTAAGATTGTAGGGGGGACTCCTTTTTACCCGCTAGTGTGCACACTAGGAATAAAAGTTTAGCTCGTGGTAGTCTGACTGTGATTTCCTAAAGCTATACAGAAGGAAATGGACAAAAGGATTCCTTGTTGGACACCCCCGATGATGTGATTTCATGCTCTCCAAAGAGAAGCATTGTTCCTTGCTTTCCCCGTGCAAAAAAAGGGGAAAAGCCGGGAAAAAGTTTGTACGCAGCTAAAACCACGTCTCTTTTCGGAGATTGAAGCATTCTGAAAACAATTTTACCCTGCATTGTCCTCAGGGAGGTTGTTGTATCGCCCTTTTTGCATGAAACCCCTGCTTCATTCCTTTGAGGACCCCAAAAAAAGCTGGTTTGGTTTAAGCTCAGGCTGCCCGTGCACGAATACTTCGGACAGAGTTTGGTACGAGGCGGGGGGGCCCTAAAAGTGTTGTACTGCAAATTTACGAAAACCTCCTTCTTTTTTTTAAGTGCAAAAGTGTTTCACCCAAAAAAAAAAATGTCTAATTTCTAGGGAATCAGACCGGCCAAGGAATTTTTGACGACCTTTTGGGTCTTGAAAAACGTGTCTCTACAATTTCCCCCTTAATGGATTAACCATTTCTTTTAAATGCTGTGGGCCCTTTTTCCGTGTCCCCCCCGCAGAGCCAGGGGAATGACATTTTTGCTTTGTAAATGTCTGAGTCTTCCACAACAATGGTTCCCCGTGGGGACAGAGGGTTGGAAAAATGTTTGGTGCCCCTGGGTTTCCCCGGCAGGGTGCTTTCCCTTTTAAAGGGTTCTAAGTGCTTCCCCATGTGTGTGTGGTTTTGTGTGTGTGTGTTTGTGTTGTGTGTGTGTGTGTGTGTGGTGTGTTGTGTGTGTGTGTGTGTGTACCATATATTGTTTTGCAGGGGTCGAGTCATAGCTCTAGCCCCGCCCCTTCCCCGGGGCGAAAAATTCTCTCTCCCTGCTATGAATTTTTTACCTTTTTCTTGATAAAGTTAAGACATTTTTGCACATCTGGTTATTTATTGTGCGTTTTGCCCTCCAGTGCCTTTTTCAATAAGATTCTTGGACATAATTAGAAAACAGAAGAACTATATACAAAAGATGAGGTAATCAGTCCCTCAGCCTGCAACATCATGGAATTTTGGTTCAGAGGACATCTACAAGACCTTCTTCACGGCTTCTACAACTAACCCATCAATTTGGGTAGGACCTACTTCCACTGGGGAATCCCGCCTACCAGTGACTATGTCCTCGTCTGCTAAACGTCCCTATTCACTGACGCCTATGTATGCGCCAGTCTCCTTGCCTGTGCTTCAGAATCTCTACAACCACACTGCTCTAAACACCACCTCCAAGGCTAAGGGACTGATTACCGCATCTTTTCTATATAGTTCTTCTGTTTTCTAATTATGTCCAAGAATCTGTATTGATAAAGCCACTGGATGGCGAAACGTCTACAATAAAGATAACCAGATGTTGCACAAGTGTCTTAACTTTCATCTTGTCGGTATTGTATACCTGTCTTGCATACCTCTTCTTAAAGCTATTTATGGAACTTGCTTCCGCTACTTCACTCTCCAGATTATTCCAGTTCCTGACAACTCTAAGACTAAAGAAATACTTCCTAACATCCCTATGACTCATCTGGGTTTTCAGCTTCCAACTGTGTCTCCTTGTTTCTGTATGCAATCTCTGAAACATTCGATCCTTGTCCACCTTGTCAATGCCTCTTAGTATTTTATACGTTGTTATCATGTCTCCTCTATCCCTCCTATCCTCTAGTGTCTTCAGGTTGAGTTCCCTTAACACCTCCTCATAAGACATACCCCTCAGTTTCTGAACTAATCGTGTTGCAATTTTTTTCACTTTCTCCAATTTCGTGACGTGTTTGACTAAGTGATAAGATAAGATAAGATTTCGTTCGGATTTTTAACCCCGGAGGGTTAGCCACCCAGGATAACCCAAGAAAGTCAGTGCGTCATCGAGGACTGTCTAACTTATTTCCATTGGGGTCCTTAATCTTGTCCCCCAGGATGCGACCCACACCAGTCGACTAACACCCAGGTACCTATTTGCTGCTAGGTGAACAGGACAACAGGTGTAAAGAAACGTGTCGAAATGTTTCCACCCACCGGGAATCGAACCCGGGCCCTCCGTGTGTGAAGCGGGAGCTTTAGCCACCAGGCCACCGGGCCTGGTGGCGCTGCTTACTCCAGTATAGACCTTATGTACACGGTGTACGCGCGCGCGCGCGCGCGCGCGCGCGTGTGTGTGTGTGTGTGTGTGTGTGTGTGGTTGTGTGTGTGTGCGTGTGCGTGTACTCACCTAATTGTCGTTGCAGGGATCGAGTCATAGCTCCTGGCCCGAAATACTAATAGCTAGAAATAATTTTCAACTTTTGACTAGGGATGCGACAAAGAATTAAGTGTTTAACTAAGGTGGTGTAGTATATTGAGAGTCAAGCGGAAATACAATTGTAGGAAGTGTTAAACCCGTTTGTTATTTATTTATTTCTGATCAAATAACATCAAATGACGTTAACTTTTAAAGGGGTCGATCGATAAACCAGCAGAAGGCCTTGCACAGATGATCAAAAGCCCGAGTGGCTGGTTTATTATGATTAAGATCCTCATCAGGAGGTATTTGTCCTGTTTCCTGACAAATATTGCCTAATCTAATTTATTCATTCAGCTCCAGGAAGTACTTGGAGTCAAGAAGAAAATGTCACAAGATAACTTGTGCCTCTTACCATCTCCTTCTTGATTTTCTTGTCGAAGTGTTCTGTGTCCGGCAGTGTTGCGACCCCCCCGACGGTCATGGTGGTGGTCAAACTGTCCTTCTTGCCCTTGATGGAGGCGGTGTCCTCGTCCACCGCCACCATCATCGCTCCCCCCGGCATCTCCACCATCTCTGTACACACACACATAACCATAAACAAGATTGAAATAATTATTTTTATTATCAGAATTTGATACACTAAATTTTGTGTCCCCTCTTCCCTGATGTATATGAAATTCTAAAAGATTAGAGCAAAAACTGGGCTTATTTAACAAACTCATGACACAGAATGGGTTTCTTGCCACACTTCATTACGCATTGGTCAAAGGCACGAATGAACCCAGGCGGAGACAATAAATTAGATGTGACAAGCACTAGATATTTTGGCCTCACTTTAAGACCTCAGAAATTTGCTAAGTATGTTTCAGTACGAGGCCGACATACACAATCATCATTATACGTACTGTATAGTTGTCTTTGGGTCTGTGTTCATTCTTGCCACAACAACAAATGTTGCAATATTCATTACATTTAATTTGGCTCTGTAACTTATACTAGTTAACACTTCATGAAATACAATATACTGCAATTATTACATATAAGGGACTCCTTGTGTGAAACATTTGCTCCAATGAATTCCCATGTTCATCATAGTCCAAGTACTTACCACATCTGGAAGACCTATTAGTCCGGTTAGTAAAGACGGAGAGGACAGAGAGACCTCGAGGTCGACTTGAATGATTTGTAAGTGTAGGGATGACGGAATGCGACCTCGCTCGTCCACTCACCACGCTGGTGGACCCATTACTTGTGTTCGACACCTGAGAGGCTAAGAAATGGTGCCTTTCCATTTCCTTTACCTGTACCTATAGAAAAATTATTAGTTATATAAACCTGTTGAAAGAAAGAGGTGATTTAATGTTATAAATTATGTACTTCTAAACTCCTGAAGGATGTTTTCGAGGATCAGCGTCCCCGGTCGCAGAATAGCCCGGCTGATCAGGAACTAACTTGAGAAACTTATCACGTTCCCTCTGAAGACACCATGAAGTAATCTCTTTTAAGTACGATGGAAGGCTGTTGAATTCTTATGTTATCTCCAAATTTACTCATGGCACCTCTGCTTTTAAATGGGGGTATTTTGTACCATCTGCCGAGCCTCTTGCTTTCGTATAGTGAGTTCTAATCCCTGATCTGGGTCCAGTCCCTCTTAAGATTTTCCCCCTTCCTCATATCAAACATGATTACTTACCATTCCCCAGGCTTTATATGACCCTTACGGGCTTAAAGCTTCCCCTTTGCTATAATAATAATAATAATAATAATAATAATAATAATAATAATAATAATAATAATAATAATAATAATAATAATAATAATAATAACACTGGTCTATGGTATCTTTTTCGGTATATATATGGAAAATAGTGATTCATTGTGTTTTTTATTCATCTCTATCACATCAGGTTGTCAAGTTATACGGAAACGTTAGTTTTTTCTTTTAGTATAAGGTAAGTAAATGAGAAAGTGGTATATTACCAATAAAAATGCTTACTTTATATTGACTTAAATGTTATATCTAATTATTTTTCTTTTTTTCAGATTATTAACATGTCTGGAGGTGCATAAATTCACCAGACATATTTTGCTATGTCTGCGGGCAATTTACCCTTCAGATTCCTGCAGCAACATTACTTCTTTATTGAAGTGTTGCTACTTTGCTTGTTTTGGCTGCAAACTTGGAGACCAGGACAAACCATCTGCACCACACAAAGCTTGCAAGAGTTGCATCAGTAAGCTCCAAATGTAGTCAGTTGGAAAACTTAAATGTATGCCCTTTGGAGCACCAATGGTATGGCGGGAGCAGATGAACCACCATGATGACTGCTACTTTTGTATGACTAAAGTAGCTGGATTCAACAAGAAGACTAAAGATCGCATAATATACCCGAATATTCCTTCAGCAATAAGGCGTGTTCCACACTCTGCAGATATTACTGTACCTGTGCCACTTGAGACATGGCAAATTTCTTCAGAGTCTGATAGCAGTGATTCTAAGGAGAGAGAAGTAGACTATGAACCACCAACAAATGACGATCCCAAACCCTTCAACCAAGTTGAGCTCAATGACTTGGTGAGAGACCTTAACCTTCCAAAAGAAAATGCAGTTACTAGGCTCTAGACTGCAGGAACACAGGCTTCTAGCTCCTGGAACAACATTCGCTTGGTACCGTCATCGTGAAGTGGATTTCACTCAGTTCTCTGACAAAGAGGAATCTTTAGTTTTCTGTTCAAATATTTCTGGCCTTATTGAACACATGGGGATGTCATACAAAGCAGATGAATGGAGACTCTTCATTGATTCTTCTAAAAGAAGTTTAATGGCTGTACTTCTCTACAATGGCAGCACAGCTGCATCTGTGCCATTTGGCCATAGTGTCTAAATGTCAGAAACTTACGCAGATATGAAGACATTAATATCTGCACTCAAGTATCAGAATCACAATTTTTTCATTTGTGGTGATTTAAAAGATATTGTTCTCCTACTAGGTCTTCAAAGCGGATACACCAAGTATCCTTGTTTTCTGTGTCTTTGGGATAGTAGGGCAGACAGCCAGCACTGTGAACAAAAAGACTGACCACCAAGAACCAGCTTCTTACCTGGAAATCACAACGTGAAAACTGTACCACTAGTTGACCCCAAGAAAATTCTGCTGCCACCACTCCATATTAAATTAGGGGTTATGAAAAATTTTGTGAAGGCCTTGAACAAGAATGGAACTGTTTTTAAGTACCTGGAGTCAAAGTTTCCTCGTATAAGTGAAGGCAAACTAAAGGCAGGAATCTTTGTTGGCCCTCAGATTCGAGAATTGATGAAGGACAAACATTATGATGTAGCAGCTGTTGAGGTGAATGCCTGGTTTTCATTCAAGCAGATTGTCCACAATTTCCCGGGAAACAGGTGCTCCTCCGAATATTAAACAATGATCCAAGACCTGATTTCAAGTTTCCAACAACTTGGGTCTAGAATAAGTGTGAAGACGTACTTTTTGCACTCACATCTTGACTATTTTCCCAACAACTGTGGGAACTACAGTGAGGAACAGAGAGAGCGGTTCCATCAGGATATTTTCACCATGGAAACGATACCAGGGCAAATGGCGAATTACTGCTGGTCATTGAAACGTAATAGTCTCGATGCACAGCACAAGTGAAAATCAAAGTGGTCCTTCTTCCTTTGATTCAATATGTAGGCTAGCCATTAGGAGTACATTTTTTAATAAAATTATTTGATTTGATTCATGTTGATTTGGAATTCATATGTTGTTAAAACTAACAGTTCAGTTTAATATGTTTATTATTCACACCATACTTATCGTGTGGGTGGTAGTCAAAAGATTACAGAGGTACATAATGGGTCCAGGGACTTGACCCCAACGTTATGATAGCTGTGCAAGAATGGTATACAATACCGACAAGATGAAATTAAGACACATGTGCAACATCTGGGTATCTTTATTGTAGACGTTTCGCCATCCAGTGGCTTTATCAATACAAATTCTAGGACACATCGTGAAGGTTATGTACATGGACATGTACATAACCTTCACGATGTGTCCTAGAATTTGTATTGATAAAGCCACTGGATGGCGAAACGTCTACAATAAAGATACCCAGATGTTGCACATGTGTCTTAATTTCGTTATGATAGCTGAACTAGTTACAAAGGTAATGAACTCCAGGTAGATCTGGTCACAATCATGGCAAGTGCTTCTCTATGTTTACTTGTCTAATTTTAATAAATTAACAATTTATTAAAAATTCACATTTTTTATTATAATTAATTTGTATTTTATTTAAAATCCTTACGTGATAGGGGAAAATGGTTTAGATATTTACAGTCAGCAGGCCAAGAAGGTGTAAGATCGCATCCATGAATAAAAATAACAATTAAAAAATCCCAAATACAGACCAGTGTAATGGGTGTGATTGATTTTTTTATGTGTACTAATAGTTTGTGATTTTAGTTTATATTTTAGTTATTAATGTATTAGCGAGAACGCTGTCATCTGACAGGTGAGAACGATCTTCAAATCTCAGCTTACTTTTTTTCCTCTCCGAGAAAAATATTTGATAGTCGATGAGCTGACTTTGGTGAGCTAATAAATTTGAAGTGGAGACTTGAATCTTAGGTTTGCCTGGAGAGAGTTCTGGGGGTCATCAGGAAGAGGAAAGTACCAAGTTTGTAATTCTCTACAGATACTAAGATAAACAACAACACTCCCACCAACATTATCTTGTCACCTGAGATAGTCTAGAAACTTCCTAAAACCAGAGATGGATACAACTGCACTTATCTTAGGTGAGATCTATGTCTTCGTCTCCCGTGTGCACCTATGTATGTCGACTCCTCAAGACGGGTGGGTGCCTTGAGGTTAGTGAGGGTTCTTGATTCAAGGAACCAGAGCTACCCCTCTGCTTAGATCAAATCTAATGCCCTCTCATTCCTCAGGTGCTGTATAACCATCACGGAATTAGTGCTTCCTCGTGGATATGCTTATATCGTCCGTCACGAGGAAAGTCAGCTCGACCACTTTGACGAAAAACTGTCAATACGGTAATGAGGATCGAGGTCACCTCATGACTACCCTAAACATGGACCGAGGTCACCTCATGACTACCCTAAACATGGACCGAGGTCACCTCATGACTACCCTAAACATGGACCGAGGTCACCTCATGACTACCCTAAACATGGACCGAGGTCACCTCATGACTACCCTAAACATGGACCGAGGTCACCTCATGACTACCCTAGACATTTGATCGCTCATTCTGGGATAGAGTGCTAGCCTCTATATTATTTATTTATTTATTTATTTATTTATTTATGTCTTTGCAAATAGTACATTAAGATTATGTATTTACAATACTGGGTTGCAATGCAAAGAGAGCCTCTATTATGCCTAGGCATTATGGGCCAACTTAACATTATTGGCTTATTGACTACTTAACACTAAGAATTATATCATAGTTGTACAGTAGAATATTAATTATATCATAGTTGTACAGTAGGTTATTAATTATAAGTGAATCTAATTTATATAAGACAAAAGATAAATTCATCTATTCAAAAATGCTGTTTGTGAAAACAATGATTCAATTATATTCCTGTCAACAATGGATAAAAGGTTCAAAAGTAATTGTTGAAATTATGATATCGGAGTACATATTGAGTATGTGAGTACTGAGTATTTAGCATTTAGTCTAGGGTGATTAGGTGGCTTTTGAGAAGAGTCTTAAATTGATTTTCAGACTGGGATACTTTAGTATCTTCTGGTAATGAATTCCATATTTTGGGGCCCCTTATGTGAGAGTTTTTACACAGTGTGGTATGGACACGAGGTATATCAAAAAGAGATGTGTGTCTTGTGTTGTGGTCATGTGTTCTGTTAAGGTTGGTGAGGAGAAGTTTGAATGGGAGGTTTATATTTGCGTGTATTGTTCTGTGTATGTAGTAGGCACATGAATAAGTATGGATGTTCTTAATGGTGAGCAGATTTAGTCTTTTGACAATTGGTGGAGTATGCTGGCGGGAGTGGGAATTTGTTATCATTCTGACTGTTGCCTCTTGCTGGGTTATCAGAGGTCTTAGGTGATTGAATGTTGTTGATCCCCATGCACAAATTCCATATGTGAGATAAGGGTATATGGGTGAATGGCACAGTGCCAGGAGAGCTCATTGTGAAACTTAGTATCGTATCTTAGATAGTATGCCTACAGTCTTAGAGGTTTTCTTGGTGATTTGTTGTATACGTGTTTGGAACTTAAGGCTACTGTCAAGGTGGATACCTAGGAATTTTCC